AAAGTGGCTTGGGAAGGGCCTGTCCTGCAGGCTCCTGTCACCAGAAGAAATGACTTTGTTCTTTAGTCACCTAGAAGCAGCCAGCCCAAGGAGATGCAGATGCCCATGGACCCTGAGAGGGGCCAACCAGCCCCTGGTGTGGAGACCAGGCCGATGGTGGAGGTAGAGGACTCAGCCCTGGCGCCTGAGGCCAGGACCCGCCCGGGGTCCTCCAAGGATGCTGGGGAAATCCTTGAGCTACAGGAGCTGGGGGCCGAAGGAAGTCCAGCAGCCCCAGAGCAGACACTACAACAACAGACTCAACCTCCCCAGGCCCCCAGGCCCCCAGGCCAAGCAGAGGTGTCCCCTTCCCTCCACAGCCCGGAGCAGGTAAGTGGACCGTTGGGAGGGTCTGAATGATGACCAAGCCCCTGCTCGCTGAGCGCTTGCTGAGTGCAGGGCTGTGTGTGGCGCTCTTGCAGAGTTCTTGTCTGAGTTTCCTGAGGCTGATATAACAAAAGTCCCACAGCCCAGGGGCAGGGAGGGGGGTGTTTAAACATCAGACTTTTATTGTCTCATGGTTCTGGAGGCTGGAAGTCAGAGATCAAGGTGTCGGCAGGGTCACTTCCCAGCAGAGGGCTGTGAGGCAGAATCTGGTCCTGGCCTCTCCCAGCTTCTGGTGGTTTCCGGCAATCTGAGGTTCCTTGGCTTGGAGGAGCATCCCCCCATCTCTACCTTCATCTTCACGTGGCCTTCTCCCTGTGTGTGAGCCCCTCTCCAAATTTCCCCTTTTTGTAAGGACCCCAGTCATACTGGATTAGAGGCCACCCTAGTGACCCCATCTTAACTTGATCGTGAGCAACAATGCTGTTTCCAAATACGGTCACAGTCACAGGTACTGGGAGGACTTCAGAACCTTTGCGGGGACACAGTTCAACCCGTAACCTTCCCCAACCCTACCTGCTGTCTGAGGGTGTAACAGGGAAGAGCCAATTCTGACTCCATGTTGGATCTGTTTCTTTGACGTTAGCCTTTGCTTTTCATTGCTTTTGGTACTATAATCATCCATAATGGCCTGCCTCAGGGAACCCTGGCCCTCTGCCTGAATATTAAACTAAAGTGCCTCTGTTCAGCTCACAGGGAGACAATCTGACCCCGCCCACCTGTGAATGGCTGCAAGAAAGAAGAAATTAATGCATCCCCTCCTCAATTCCAGGAGATGATGTGCAAGACAGACGGTTCTCTTTACTTTATTTCCCCACCGCCTCTCCCTCTCTATTCTGCCTTTTTACTTTACTTCCCTGTCTGATTCTATAGAAGAAAATGGCACCCAGACTCCGATTAGGTGGTTATTTTGAGACATAAGTCTGCCATCTTCTCGGTCTGCCGGCTTTCCGAATAAAGTATTCCTTGTCTCGACACCTCATGTCTGACTTACTGGCCTGTGTGCGGTGAGCAGCGCGAGCCTGGACTCGGTAACAAGGGGACCATGGCACCCCGGCGGGCGCAGAGGCTCGGCGTGTGTCCTCGCTGGGCCCCAGGGCTGGGAAACAGCAGGGCCGAGGAGGCACAGCCCGCTGGTGCTGGACCCTGAAGCCTCCTGTGCTGTCTGTCAGCAGAGCTGGGCCAAGCACCCCCTGGGTGCCGGGCTTGGCATCTGGAGAATACGGGGCTGCTGGGGCAGGGTGTGGGATGGATCCCGAGATGGGTGGGATTGTGCCCGGTGGGCCGTGTCCAGCCGTGCACAGCAGGAAGCGACGGTTCCCATCCTCCGCTGTGGGGCTGCTGGGGGCTTTCCCGAGTGGGTGACACCTGAATGGGGTTTGACAAATGATCAGACACCCACTAAGTGGCCCTGTGGGGGAGGGCCCGGGTTGCTGAGCGATGAGGAACCCTAAGGCAGGGCAAGGTCAGGGGTTGAAGAAAGGGGAGACTGGGAGGAGACCATGGACCCCTGGGCCACCCTTGCACAGCCATGGGGCTTGAGAAGTCCGGAGACTGTAGGTTCCATGGGTCGTGCGCCCTTATGCATCATTTCAGGGAGCCGGCCTGTGACTTTTGTCGGATTCTCCAGGGCTCCTGAGACGAATAAAATGCAGAAGTTGGGGCCCCTGCCGAGGGTAAGGTCAGGGTGCCGTGCCGGTCCCTGGGTGTCCCTCTGGGGCTGTGCTGTAACAGGGCAGCTGTTCTTACCCTTTTACCAGCCATGGGACAGAGCGGTGAGTCCTTGCCGGCCGTGGGCAGAGGCAGAGCTGAGATTTGAACCACATGGTCAGGCTCCTGGCCTCAGGCCCAGGCACCTCAAGGAACGCCTGGCCTCATCCAGGGAGAACCCCGTGCTCGTGGCAGCTCCTTCAGACGGGTGGTCAGCTTTCATCTGTCTGGTGTCCCGTCCACGCTCAGATTTCCCTGAACTAGGAGGCTGTGTGGATAAGTCACTAATATTTGTCCACAGTGCATGTCTGTGTGTGTGTCCTCTCCATTGTCTTATCCAGAGAGCAGGTCACCGCCAGGTGACGTCATTCAGCTGTTACCCGCACCCCCCAGGGGGGAAGGAGCAGAGCCTGGGTCTGGGAAGAGTCAGGAATACATGCAGAGCAGCAGGGACCCCCGCCCGCCCAAGCAGGGGCAGCCGTGACGGCACGGTGTCGTCACCCGCACGCCCAGGCAGCGTCCTG